GAAGGGGGGGGGGGTAGCAGACGGCAGGGCGTTTTAACTGTTGAATCTGATTACATTCAGAACATGCTTTCCAAAAATATGTACACTTTGACAACAGACATGTAGATGCATAGTGGGAGAGCAGGAGCCAGTACTATTCTGTTTTACACTTAAAATCATGCTTTTTTGGCAACCAGTCAGTCACAGATTTATTTGTTTGTTTGTCTGTTTAGGGTAATTCAGGCATAAATATGATCTGATCAGCATAAAATCTGCTTGCTGTTATTTCCTCCCAAAGAGGAGAGACTTGTGATGATGCAGAAAACCAGAATGAGTTAGTTTTACTGGACTGCTACACATTATACAGCATGGGTTATTATCAGTAATGTCACTGAAATGGAAATGGAAAATTCATTGATTCATTCACTGGTGTCTCTGGTTTCTGTTTGTATGTAGTCTGTAGGTCGTTATGTTTAATAAAAGTCCTGATCACAGTATGATTTGTCTGTCTCCAAAGGATCAGATAGTTCAGTTGTCTGCTGAGTGCTAGCACATTACTTGTGGAATGGAACCACATGCTTTTACACATTTAGGAGACAGATTGAAATGGAATCATTCATCAAGTCTGGGATGAAGAGATTAGTGAAGCTCCATAGGTCACTGCTTAGACTAGATAGATGACAAAAAAAAAGCAAACATATATTTGGCCTTTTGGAATAAGGCAATACTCCTGGGACAGATGAGGCTCCATTAAACATAGAACTTCCACAATTTATAATCACAAATAACTTTTATCTGTAAGCACTTCCAGCCTATATTTGTCAAAGTCTTATTTCAGTATTTTGCTTGCTTTACTTCCAAGTTTCTAAACTTTGATTTGCTTTAGTCTGACACAGCATTTCTGCATGCTCTTCAGGGATCACCCGCCATTTTATTTATTTGGACCAAGCAGTTTAAAATATATAAAAATTCTCAAATAGAGGTTTATTGAGCATTTAAATCAGGATGATTTGAAACCTGCTGTGTTTATTTATTTCTGTAGCCTTTTATGATAAGTAAGTTTCAAAGAGCCGAACAGAACAATCAATCACAGTACAAAGAAACATAGCTTGTTGAAAAGAAATAGTTGCACACCCTCAGCATTACTGTAATGTGGGAATACAGTGTTAATAAGTTTGTATGACATGATTAATGTGATAATTAGGCACCAAACACTAGATGCAGGTTTCATAAGGATCATCTAGACCTGGAGTACTGAGAGAGTTTGGTCTGACTATTTTTATATTAAGTAATATATGAATGTGATGAAAACAGAAGCTCAATCATGTAAAACAAATTCATTTTATTTCTATTTTCCTCCTTTAGGAACTTGTGGAAAGTTACTGGCAGCATATTCTGTTTTCATATTTGGATTACGACAGTAAAGTGAAACTGTGAATCCAGCATGGGAACTAACCCAAAAAGGACAGTGACAGTTCAGATGGTGCCTCAGCTGGACACGCTGGGCAATAAGGAGTCTAATGCCAACTGGACTAAAGAGCCCAACCTCGCACTGTCTCAGGTTTGTCCAAAACCCACCCTCACATCTCCTGACCACAAACAGGATAAATTATCTCTCACTGCTGCTCCCACTAACAGCATCCCACATACCCCCAAAACAGCTTCCAAGAGCGATGAACCAGTTAGCAGTGTGTTGTCAGACAAACCAGTACCAGCCAATGGAAACCAGACAAAATGTGAGCATGTGACAGGTGGAGACCAACAAATGCCAGACATGTCTCCACAAGGCCAAGGTATTGGTGTGGCAGGCGGTGACCAAAGGGATTCTAATGCTAATATGAAAGCAGTAAGTCTGACTGATGAAAAAGATATGTGTAAGGCAGGTTTGTCAGCTGCTATTACAGCGTCCAAGGTCAACATGCAGACCAGTGACTGTAGAATAAAAGGACCAAGTGCAGCAGAGAAGGAGTGTACAAAGCCAGCGTCCTCAGCCAAAGCCACAGCACAAGAGGACAAGAAAAAACATGTTTCTCCAAATAACAAAAGTCTTAATAATGCTTGCGAATTAAGGCAAACAGCATCTGCACCTCAACAGGATAATAAAGGGAGTCTGTCAGCTCCCAAAAACAAGCACACTGCTGTACTACAGAAATCTAAAGAGTCTGCTCATATACAAAGTTCCTCACAAAGCTCTGTCAGTCTGAAAGAGGCTCCCAGACCCAAAAGCATAGAAACTACAGCTCTACTGAGCTCTACTACGCCATCTTCTAAGAGCAAAGAAGCAAAGGCAGGCTCTACAAATAAGAATTCAAGTTCAATACTTCCAGAGAAGGATATGAAAACAGCAAAGAAACCACAAGTCTCTTCTGGCAAACATCATCCAGTGTCTTCAGGAAAGGACTCCCCTCTGCCACAGGCTACACAAACCATGGTGACATGTGGACAGGTGGCTGAGGAAGCCAGCCAGACTGACACAGCTGTCTATGAAGGACAGCAGCAGCGATGTAAACTCTACAGGGAGGCTTCAACTATGACCTCATCCACCCCAGTCAAACAGTGTCATGACATGGAGGTTCAGGCGGTGGCTAACATATGTAGTAAGGCTGTGGCCACAAGTCCAAGCCTGCAGGCCTTTGCTGCGACTCATAGGCTGAGTGCAGGTGCACTGCCCAGGGAGGAGGTAGAGAGCCTTTCTGTATTCTATCAGGTGGATGAGGGTGTGGGTCTGCATCAGATGAATATGGCTTCTCTATCCACCTCTACTGGTTCGGGGTCAGAGAAACTCACTGTTGAGGCAGAGATGTACCCCACCCAGCTTTTCCACTCAGAAACCTTGTCTAAACAGGAAGATGCTAAACTAGGGGCCAAGCCTAAAGATCCGGGGTCAGCTCTATGCAACATCCAGCCAGTTTATCAAATCAATATTGAACACAGCAACTACAGACATCAAGGAGAGACAGGTAACTCCCAGTATAAAAGTGGAGTTCAGACATCTGCAGCAAAAACAGCCACTATGGAAGCTCATACTCTTAAATCAGAAACACCCCCAGAGGCAGCTTCCAAGTCAGGAACTGCTGACAATAACAATGCTGCTCTGTCTCAGGCTGCTGTTACAGTCAAGTTCGACCAGGCCCTGCCAACAACACCAGCAGCAAACTTCACATCCAAGTCAGAGCTGACTAAAAATACAGCTGAACATTCAACAAAAAAGAGCAATGAAGCTGGAAGCCAAGCACTGACAAAGGACACAAATATTGAACCAGAGAAAAATAACAAAGAGGATGACCAGTCAGGAAAGCAGAAAGAAAAAAGTGTCCATGATGTCGTCTGGGATGAGCAAGGGATGACTTGGGAGGTCTATGGGGCTTCTGTGGACCCAGAATCTCTTGGGTTTGCCATTCAGAGCCATTTGCAGTGCAAAATCAAGGAGCAAGAGAAGAAACTGATAGCCCAGACCTCCTTGCGAAAGTCCATCTCTGGTGCTGACACGCCGCGACTTGGAAGGAAGAACAAAAGGAGGCAGCAGAACATATTCAGGTCAATGCTGCAAAATGTCAGACGGCCCAACTGCTGCGCACGTCCCCCTCCCTCCTCCGTCCTCGAGTAGCACAGCACAGAAGTAGCCAATGTCAAACTCCTCCTGTGTCCTAGAGGTCAGACTTGTTTGTCTCATCATGATTGCAATGCCAAGCGAAACATTAATGGGGCAACAATATCTGTAAGTAAGTATACTGGAATGTTGTAGCATAAAGAGTCAAACTATTTGTGATGTTCAAAAAAAGTAGGAAATATAAATGTAAAATGAACAACTCTAGATGTATTTTCTAGAAATAGATATTTAAAAAAGAGCAGTTTTTATATAACAAAGGCAATAATAGTGAAATGCATGTAGATTAGTTACAATGGCAGTTGCACTGTATCACCTAAAATGAAGTCCAGATCTCCATAGAAAATTGGCCTGATCATGGGCTAGACATATTACTTACTGTCAGAATATTTGTGCAAATATATTAAACAAACATCTCATTGCATTTGGTGCATCTGGTATATATGTTTTTGAGGTGTTTTGGGACCCTACATTTATAAGATTGCTGTATTTTCTTTCATGTGCATCTATTTTTAGTGAGTGATTATGTTGTGCAAAACAGGACTGTATGCATAATGCTTTGTTTAATCTCTGATCTTCTTTGGTTTTCTATGAAAATAAAAAAAAATAAAAAAAATTTAGCTTTACACATTCTTCATTTCTGACATGTTGACAGATACTTTAATCAAGTAAAGCATCACATCAGTAAATCATGAGATAGTGTGGTCATTTTTAAGCCAAGTGCATGTGTCTGGGGATGTGAGAATAGCAGGCGACATCACTGCCACCACCAAGAGAGTGACAGGGAGTAAAGGTACAGTAGGTTGTAGATTGTGCAGGATACATTTGTGTTAACTTTAATGAGATTGTTTCTGATCCCCAGTGATGACATAAAGTTTAGTTTTGCTCCCATGTATTAACAGGGAGATTAAGACCGCTGCTTATGAAATGCATTCTTTTACATGAACAATCAGCATTGCTTCCTTTTGTGTGAATGTAAGATCTCCAAGGCTGAGTCAGCCAGAGGAAAAAAATGCATTTCTGTGAAACGCTTTTATAGATTAGCTAGTAAAAAACAAGAGAAACTTGATCTTAGGGATATCTCAAAGAACAAGATGTCTATTTCCTTGTGTTGCCTTGCCTTGGTGAATTAAAAAAATATTTTGAACAGATCATATACACGAGTCATAGAGAGAAGGCTGAAAATTGATTAGGGCCTGAGATGTTTTGGTTTTTATTCTAGCTAAACAAAAATTGCCTCTTGTTTATTACATTGTTTGCAATAGAGATTTTAACGACAGCTCGAGGTGTTATTGCTAGGATGTATTGTTATACCAAGGTGTGCACCATGTGGATAAGAGAGAGCCAGAACTGCATCTCATTTTACCATTTTGAAGCAGGCAAAGAGAACATAGTGCAGGAACACTAGACCCCAGGAACACTAAAACAGACCTTATCATATGCAGACATGATACATCAGCAGCTAATATTAAAATATATTGGTGGGATTCAGGTGTAAGAGTAATGTTGAGGATACAGTGACTTTCTAATTGCAGACATGGTTTTCAAAACCTGCACTAGAAAGTATATAAGTTGCTACAGCCTTTGCAGTATTCAGCATTTTTCTGATCTTAAACTCCCCACACCATCAATATTTGATGGTTCCAGCTTCTCAAATATAGTGATTTGCTATTTCCTTGTCTTACATTACAGTAAAGTGAATATGGTTTTGATTGTTTTAGAGTGTTGTTTGGTCAAAATTAAACACCTAAACAAACAATTCATCACAAAAACCGGACAGTTTAATCAGTAATGAAAAATAGCAGCCAATAGATGAAAGACTTATTGTCAAATATACAGTATTGTTTTTCATTCAAATCTTAGTTTAGGATGTCATCTAATTTAATTAGAACTTAAGGTTAATTGGCTGCTCTGAGTTATGATCTGTTCTGTCTTGTAATATTCATTCCTGTGTAACAACACAATACAGTAATAACGTTTTCTAAACTAACTAAAATGCTACATACAGAAACGATTGTTCTTGTTGTCCCACTGTTTGGTGGTGAACACGTCCATTCAATGTGAGCGTACTGTCCTGACTGGTGTAACACTGATTTCAGGTGACAGCTGTTTTTGTCTTAACAAGAATGTCACTTCCTATTAATGTCAGGATGTGATAGCAGGAGGAACAAGAGTCTTCTATACTCGTAGTCTCTGTGCTGTGCAAGAACAATGATGCAGACTGAATCGTCTAATCCTTATGCCTTTCCTGAGCCACTGGGATCAGAGGACACAGCTACAAAGTCAGTCTTATCATACTTATCACTTGTAAGGACAAAAATGTGACTGTTTCTGGAAGCAGCAGTGCCCCCATGGCCTCTTAACATATATAGTCTGCTATTTAAGATAATTCCTATTCCACAGTGCTCATTGAAAGGTGTAAAATTGACATAATTCTGTAGGGCCAGATTAAATGCCCAATTCACCCTCAGGTAGATTAATGTTTCTCTTTCTCCTCCTTGCCTCCCAGTCTAGGTCAGTCTCTCCTTTATCCATTGACTGCATGTGTCCATTTCTACTGTACTTAAATCTGATTCTTTCACCCTAGCTTTAATTAGCTGCATTTCAATTTTTAATTACCCTCAACTCACGCTGTCATTATGGTTGTTTCCCATTCAGAAGAGCAGATTAGATTTGACCACAGGTGGTGGTTAGCACAAAGGGAGATTTATTCCAGTGACAAAGAACATGGAGAAGGATTTCAAAGGTGATATAGTTAGAAAAAGACTGCATTCAACTTGCTTTTAGTATTTACCTCAATGGATGTACACGCCATGTCTGCTATGGTTATTTTATTGAACACATATACTGGGCACATAACTGCACATTATATTCTTATGTGGGAAATATTCAGTAGTGCAGCATTCTGCTGGCCCAGTGGTCATCTACTGCATGTCACAGAGACATAGAAACATTCTGGGATATATCTTTTTAATTGTCAAATATCAGTTTTTCTCTCAGTACTTTCTTGCTTCCTCATCCTGGCTGTGAGGCTCAGCCATAAATCTCAACCTTTTCCTCTAAAAATGACATTCATATGCAACTCATCTGCAACATAACATGTGGTTTTATAAAAACATACTTTATGCTGTCACCTATCAACATGCTGAGGAAACACTTTCACTTAACATGTAGACCAAGTCACAAAATGTTGATGTGGAACGTATCAGTGTTCACTGTTAATGCAATGTACCGTCTGTTTTCCCAACAATATCAACTCAAGTAAAATAAAATGTTTTTATGGTTATTTTTATTCAGTCACTGCACTTGGTTAAGGTTAATGTGGTCTTGATTTAACTCTAAAAAAAGCAAAGAGTTACTTGAAGAGGAGACTGGAAGGTTTTAATTACTTAACATTGCATGGAAATCTCAGTCTTTTCATAACCTTAAAGGGCATTTGGTACCTCTCCTTCACTAAGAAAAATAAATGATGCCACTGAACATACAGTAATTCAGCCAGTAATAATCCCCTGAAAGCAAATTTGATAGAACAAATTTACAACATATAAAGTATAGTTTATAGAAAACCAAGTTGCAAGCAAAGTGGTTGCAAAATGTATTGTAAATCTTGAAAAGGCATTACTCTGGTGGCTATATGCCTGTCTTTGCAACATAACACAGCAATGGCGCCCAGCTTGAGAGCAAAATAATAATCTCTCAGGTGTTACCCCTTAACAAGAGAACTCCCAGGTTGTGTCAGAAACTAAAATTAAAGACCAATAGTCCATGAGAGCAAGCATGAGCCCCCTGTTAGAGCCCAAGGGCCTCCCCTGACTCACACTGAGATGTTGAAGCTAATGGTGCTGATACTCTAGGTGAGCAGGGCTGTAGGGGAAGGAAACTGTGGCGCAATGCGAAAA